TACTATTACAGTATCACTTGCCAGTGGCCACGCTTTAATGCACGCTTATTTTTTCGGTAAATCATTTAAAAGTAAATTTGTGTAATATAATATTTGAAATAGCGTGGATCATAGGCTTATTTGTTTTTTTTTGTTTTATTCGTGTTCGTTTAAACGTATATTATTGACCTTGTATCATATCGAACCGATAAAACCTTATGATTGTCTAATATTTTGAATGTAACTGTATATTATAAATTGTGCTTTCTCATTCGAATGATGCTCCTTACCAATAGTATTTTAAAGATGAGTGAGTATTTCTGTACGGCATGTCTTTTGTAACATTCGTTACATATAGAATAACATCAATAGTATACTAAAAATATAAACATTATTTCATTTTGTTTTAAACATAAAAAATCATACAATTATAATTTAATAACTAGTACATACAAAATTAAATGCCAGCACCCGTTGAACGAAACGGATTTCCTTTAAAAGTACATAAGTCACGCAAAAAATTATTAAAATTTAAATGAAAATACTTTTCTGCCGTTGAAATACTCATAGAGACGTAATAAAAAGAAATTTTATGGAAAAAGAAAGAAAAAAAAAGTAACGAATTAAATAAATTTTTAATACAAAAATATTTAACTTACTTAATTTTAATTTTTATTCAGTTCAATAATATTAAACATTACTTATGAAAACATATCAGAATTAAAGATCATACGAAATATGCACATGTTATGGAAAATGAAAATAAAACTTACTTTATACTTTTTATCTTTGACTTAAAATAGGAATTAGAGAGAATTCTATTTAAATAGGAATATTTTTATAAATAATAATAGTCAATTTATATTTTTATTATTTTTTTTTTTTTGACTATTGAGAATATTTTTTAAATTCAAAACAACTAAAAAATCCGCCTACTCTAAGTAATTTAATCAAACAATTGTGTTTGAATTGATCAAAGATAAATAAATAAAAATATGCTTTAACAAATCATGCAAATCTAGTTTAGGTCTTTTTTAATGATGATTAATGAAGTAACCAAAATTATACGATAAAGTTACTTTGTATTAACATTCATTTAATGTAAATGTTGTAGAAAATATGTATACAGAAGATTAATACCCAAAATCGCAATTGATTTAAAATATTTAGTAACTTAAATTCATAATATCACATGGTGCTGCCATCCAATATTGTAGGTGTGTAAATGTATACAGAATGATGGCTATATTATATTCTAGGCTATAAAACTCCGTCACTTATTAGCTATAAAATATTTAAGTATATTATTGGGTTTTGGTTTACTAGTTGTCGGCCAAGAACGAGTCACTTCTCTTTGTATATCAATGGGTAAAGATTTAAGAACAGCTGCATCAATTTTTGGAGATAGTTGCATTGGTGATGAAGGACTGAGGCGAAGATCAGCCATTTCGTTACTTGGAGATTCTCTGCGTCCACTTAACCATACTTCCAATCTTGTTTTTTTTGGTAAAGGTTCTATTTCATTCAATAAATCATCGTCCGTATTCTGATTGTTCGTAGTACCTATTGACTTCGAAATTGGAGATGAAGTGGTACTCATTGCAGAACCATCATTACTATCTTGATTCACACTCATTGGCGACCCAAGATTAATATCAGAAATACCTTCTTCTGAGCTTATATCTAAAACAGATTGAACTGCGACTTGTTTTCGTAAAAAAGACGTAATACTATTTTTTCCGGAAGATCTTTCCTCGAATTTTGTGAAAGCAACTCCTAGAAGAGTTAAATGGAATGGTTTAGAAACATCAACAGTACGATGAAATAATTTCATTGCTAGTGTCAACATTTTAGCATGATCATAAACACCAGATTTTGAAGAAGGCAGTAAGTGTTTTGGTAAAGCACATTGCCGAGTTTCCCTTTTACCCGAACTTGATTTATTAAAATCATGTTTTCTAACTGTTAATCTCATAGCGACCGGAATTCTTCCATCTTCCATGGCTAATTCTGTTAATCTTCTTAAAAGTGCCCCTAATCGCGATTCTACTTCTGCTACTAATGAAACACTTTTGAATCCATCTTCTAAACCTATAGACTGTTTTTTTCCTGTTGGTTTTACTACAGTTTCATCAATACCTTCAGCATTATCTTTTAATTTTCTTGCCAAATCAATGCCAATTTTCATTTCTAAAGTTTCTAAAGGAGTTTTACGTAAATCATCTATTGTCTTTATATTATTAGACATTAATAATTGTGTAGTCTTTTGTCCAACACCTGGTATTTTAGATATAGATCCTATATTAGATAATAACATAGGAGCACTGCACGGGAATATAAGTGTTTGTTGATTTGGTTTATGCAATGATCCCACTAGTTTTGCTAAAAGTTTATTATGTGCTATTCCTGCACTGCATGTAACATGCAAATCTTTATAAATTCGTTCCCTTATTTCTGCTGCAATTTTGGAAGCAATAATTAATCGAGCATGACAACCACAAGGACATTCTTCTTCAGAAGTTCCAAATATTTCACCAACTGGATTTTCATCTTCCATGGAAATATTTATATTTAATTCTGAATTATTTCCAGAATTCATGTATTTTTGTACAATAGATGTTACATCCATAAAGTTATCATCAAAACCCAGTCTTTCAACTAATGGAGTAAATTGATGTAATATCTCTAATATTTTAGCAGAAAAGTGACGATAATTTGTTAAATCTTCACCATTTACCAAGGCCAGCCCTGGGCATAACCTTAAAGCTTCTTGTACAGACATACATTTTTTAATTCCATATTCTCGTGCTATATAATTGCTTGTCACTACCATATTTTTTTGTTGTACTCCTAATGGTTTACTTTTTAGCTCTGGATGCCTTAGCATCTCTATTTGAGCATAGAAACAATCAACATCTATATGAATTATAGTTCTTGGATGTCTTATAATTGCATCAAATTCAATGGAATCCATTGAGGTCAATTTACAAATAATGTAATACACTATTATTCATAGAATCTTTATCACATAAATATTTTATTTAATATTTTAACATATATACTCTGTAACAATAATAAATATTTAATGTAATAATTAATATTACAAATAATAAAAACAGTTGATTTATAAATAATTATTATCCATAATGTAGCAAAATTTATTACCTTTTTAGAAAACAGATTTGGTTAAAAATATATTTTTAAATGCATATTTTCATATTACTTATGATATTAACAAAGAATAATTTTCTTTCTGTTATTAACACACTTTAGCACAAATTTATATAATAATTTCTGAATATATAATTGTTTATTTGTCGATATGTTTAACTATAGATGTATATCTAAAAAATAGGTTAAGTACTTCAATCAAAACATATAAATAATTTATTGTTTTTAACTTACATATGGAGATATATAATTGTATAATTAATTATCATTTTTATTCTTAAATAAATTCGAAACACAATTATTAAATTACTTTTTTATTTTATTATATTTTAGAACTTTTTTTAAATTATAAAGTAAGGTTACCATTATTTAATATTCATTTGAAAGATATATTGTCTCACAACCACGAAGAACATTAAAATACAGAAATATTTTTATTTTTCAGAAATCCGTTAGATCATTAAATAGACATCAAATTGTAACTGGAACTTTTAAAAACACGAATATTTTATTTCCGAAATTCTCA